TGGATGGTGATTACCAAAACAAATTCGGAATGCATTATAATTTATTTTTCTTCCATTTTCGACCAAATGATACCATATTTCCCCCAACAAACTGGGTGGCGGGGGGCTGCCGACCCCCCTGTTTATATCGCGGATTGTCCAGGTAAGGATACATTTCTTCGCAATATGCAATTCCAGCTTTTCATTGCGCGCAGGGTGTGACGGAGATAGTGATGAGTCTCGGAAATACGAACTCGGCTTAGCTTCGGTCTTGCTCTGAGTCTCAATCGGAGTTATGAAATTGTCATGTATTCAAAAGTGTGTTGTTTTAAATTTGCTTTAGTATACGAAACATTAGCCTGTCTAGATACTGAGGTGTTTTGACATCGATTACAGATATGAAAACAGCTAGGAAATTTGCTGTCATTTTAGGAAGTTTTAAATAATATACGTTTGAGCGATGGTATTTTAACTTTCATAACTTCGAACCCAGTTCCCTGAGAAATGCTCTTTCTTTTCCTTCGTCTGTAAAATAAAGAGCAGCAAGGTAAATTTCGCTTCGAAATCCTTTTATTTTTTATCCATCCTTTGAGATATCGACTTTATTTACAAGTAAAGTTGTTGTCAGTATATTTCTACATGCTAGTACGGCGTTTTTGTGTTTTCTTCGAGCCAAGATTCATAATTATGGACTTCATAACATGGTGACTTGAAAAGTCACTTCACGAAATTGATATAGTATTTGAACTCCATGTAGCTTCTGATAATAATTTGATTTGTGATACTTCTTCCTTGCAGTTTTTAAGAGAAAAATTTGATAAATTATTTTCACATAATTTACCTGTCTGACGCCTCCAAATCTCAATTTTCGATATTTATTTATTGACGACTTTTGTGCTCTGGCTGTCTGTCGAGTACCTTTGCCCCTAGATTTCCTTGTTTTTATGTCTGTGAGAGTGTGCCAAACAGCCCAACACAGCAGTGTAATCTTAAAGCATGTTCATATAGAGGCAAAGCAGCCCTTGTAGCTGATTCATACTGCTGATCAGGGGTGGAAAAAATATTTTAACTTCTGGGATTGCAATACCCTAGTTCCAGAGGCTCTTTGCAAGGCGAAAGAATGGTCACATTGATTGC